TGTTCTCATTGTTATTACTGTCTTATATCCCTGTTGTACTATTTGAAAACTTAAAGTAATTTTAAGGACCCCTCTAGGGGGTAGAAATGGGTCAAAATTGGCTAAGGCACATTTATTTCTATTAGTTTAAAAATGAAAAACTTCATTTTTAAAATGTGCTCTATTGTAGTTCTATTGAATTTGGAAAATGTCCCTCTTTTATCTTCTTCTTTGTCCAGTTTTAACAGCTATCATATCCAATTTTGGATATGGTTGCTAAAGAAACTTCACAGCCCTGGGAAGAACAGAGGCTACTTTAATAAGACAGCAAACCCCTAAGCCAAGAAAAATTGGTTCTATGGTGGCTTAGTTGTGAAGAAACACATTTAGTAACAACTCTAAACCAAAAATGCAAATTAGAAAACAAAAATAGCTCTTTTGACATAATAAAGCCCAACTGAGAAATTAAAATTTCTCTCTGCTTTTACGTTCCTTCTTTCCTTTCTCTCTCTCAAAGCTAAATATTTCTTAACAATGAATGAAACATGAGAGGATTTAGACTTATGTTTAGAAACTAAGCCAATCCGTATACTTCAAATACTAATTTTGACAGGTGCAACTGCATATTTTTGGTAAACACAGAATGCCAAGAAATTCTATCCAACCAAATAAACAAAAGTAAATCCCTTAATTTTTAGGTTCCAGTGCAGGTGGCTCATATTTAAACAAAGCCTGTTTGTTGAACATATGCCAACCGGGAGTTGGGGAAAATCAAAGGGCTCATATAAGTAAGAATTTTAACTGGCTGACATTACACTAGGGTTCTGCAACAAATCTGTAAAGTCCGCCTCTCAAAACAGTTCTACCAATTCACCTTCCTTCAGCACAAGTACTCAGTGCCCATTTTTCAGTATGTTCAGCAATTTTCTTTTAGCTTTTTCCAGTCTTCATCAATTTGATAGGTGAAAACATGTTTTAATTTGCATTTAAATGGTGAAGTTAAGGTTGAACATCTTTCAAATACTTATGGATGTCTTCCTTTGAGAACTGCCGATTTTCCTATTTGTATTTAAGCTCTTTGTTAATGATATTTTAGAGCTCTTTATTAATAAAAGTTTTATTTCTTTTATTTATATTGTAGATATTTTCCTGTTTGTGATGTGTTTTTGGCTTGGTTTTGTATTATTTTTATTTTTTTTTTGAGATAGAGTCTCACTCTGTTGCCCAGGCTGGAGTGCAGTGGCAAGATTTCACCTCACTGCAACCTCTGCTTCCCAGGATCAAGCGATTCTCCTGCCCCAGCCTCTTGAGTAGCTGGGATTACAGGCGTCCACCATCACACCTGGCTAATTTTTCTATTTTTAGTAGAGATGGGGTTTCACCTTGTTGGCCAGGCTGGTCTCGAACTCCTGACCTCAGGTGATCCACCTGCCTCAGCCTCCCAAAGTGCTGGGATTACAGGTGTGAACCACCATGCCCAGCCAGTTTTGTATTTTTAAAAATCTTATTTCAAAAAGTTCAAAATATTATGTAATACTCTTTCATGGTTCTACTTTTGCTTATATGCATAATAGGGCATTTGCTACCATGACATCCACTGTTCATTTATTTCTTTTTAGCTTCCATTTTTATATTTAACTTTATTTACTGGGAATGTGTTTAGGCATAAAGTAGGAATATTAAACATCCTCTCACCCTCCATCATGTAATTAGCCAGTTTTATGAAGACCATTTATTGAATAATACATATTTTTCTGTATTTCATTTGAAATGCTATCTTTATCATGTGCTACATTTTAATACAATATATCCTCTATTCTGAACGTGTATTTTTTTTAAGTTTCTGGCATTGGCATTTATCAGTCACTAAAGAAGAGATGCATCATAGTTGGCACGGGCTGTGCATGGCAGAAGTTAGATGGCTGACTGAGGAGGACTGTTATTTGAACTATTGGGACCACGTATAGTTAATTTATTTATTTTTTGAGATGGAATCTCACTCTGTCACCCAGGCTGGAGTGTAGTGGCACTATCTGGGCTTACTGCAATCTCTACTTCCTGGGTTCAAGCAATCCTCCTGCCTCAACCTCCCGATTACAGGAGCCCGCCACTGTGCCTGGCCAATTTTGGTATTTTTAGTAGAGACGGGGTTTCACCATGTTGGCCAGGCTGGTCTCGAACTCCTGACCTCAGATGATCTGCCCGCCTCAGCCTCCCAAAGTGTTGAGATTACAGGCGTTAGCCACTGCGCCCGGTAGTTTAATTTTATTTGGATCTTGTCTTGGGTCTCTTTAGTGTGGCCATAAAGGAATACCTGAGGCTGGGTATTTTATAAAGAAAAGAGATTTATTTGGCTCATGGTTCTGTAGGCTGCACAAAAAGCATCGTGCCAGCATCTGCTTCTGGCCAGGGACTCAGGTTGCTTCTACTCATGGTGGAATGTGAAGGGGAGCTGGCATTTGCAGATCATGTGGTGAGAGAGAAAACAAGACAGAAAGAGGTGCTAGGCTTTTTAAGAAGCAGTTCTCATGGGAACCAAGAGAACTTATTTACTCCTGGGAGAATGTCACCAAGCCATTCATGGGGGATCTGTCCCCAGATTTCTCCCGTCTGGCCCCACCTCCAATATTGGGCATCAGATTTCAACATAAGATTTGGTGGGATGAAAAACACATCTCATGTCTTTCTCACATTGCAAAATACAATTATTCCATCCCCCAGTCTTAACTTGTTCCAGCATCAACTCAAAAGTCTAAAGTCTCATTTGAGACTCAAGGCAAGTTCCTTACAACTGTGAACCTGTAAAATAAAAAACAAGTTATTTACTTTCAAGATACAATGGTGGTACAGACATTCCCATTCCAAAAGGGAGGAACAGGCCAAAAGAAAGGGGTAATAGGCCCCATGTGAGTCCCAAACCTGTCAGGACAGATATTAAATATTAAAGCTCGAAAATAATCTGCTTTGACTCCATGTCCCGCATCCTAAGAACACTGGTTCAAGGGGTGGGTTCCAGAGCCTCGGGCATCTCCATCCCCATGGCTTTGCTGGGTGCAGCCCATGTAGCTGCTCTCACGGGTTGGAATCCAATACCTGCAGCTCTTCCAGGCTGAGACTGTAAGCTGTTGGTGGCTCTACCATTCTGAGACCGGAGAGTGTTGGCCCTGCTCCATCTGCTCCAGTAGGTACTTCTCTAGTAGAGGCTCTCGGCCTCTGTGGCAGGCTTCTGTCTGGGTACCCAGGCTTTCTAATACATCCTCTCAAATGTAAGTGGAAGCTGCCAAGTCTCCACTACTCTTGCAGTCTGCATGCTTGCAGACTTAACACCACATGAAAGTCCCCAAGGCTTACTGGGTACACCTTCCAGAGCAGCAGCCTGAGGCCCTTTGAGCTGCTGCCACTGGGGTACAGGGAGCAGTATCACCTGCCCCGTCAAAAAGCCATTCTTTCATTCTAAACTTCTTAATCTGTGATGGGAGGGGTAGCATCAAAGATTTCTGAAATAGCTTTGAGACATTTTTTCCATAGTCTTATTAGCACCTGGCCCCTTTTAGTCATGCTCATCTCTTTAGCAAACTACTGCTCCTGCTTGGCCATACTCTTAGACTCCTAAACACACTCTTCTTTCCTTCTCTAACACAAGGCAAGGCTGCACATTTTCCAATTTTCCTCTGGTTTCTACTGTAAGCAGTTAGAAGTAACCATGCAGCAGTCTGAGCACTTTGCTGGTTAGAAATTTCTTTTCCCAGATACCCTAGGCCGTCTCTTAAATTAAGCCTTCCATAAAGCCCTAGAGCATGGACACAATGCGGACAAGTTCTTTGCTACGGCATAACAAGTGTGATTTTTGCTTCAGTTACATGTAGGTTCATCATTTCCATCTAAGGCTTCCTCGGTATGACCTTTGCTATCTCTTTTTCTATAAGCATTTCGGTCCACAACTACTTAACCAGTCTCTAAGAAGTTCCAAACTTTCCCTTGTCTTCCTGTCTTCTCCTGAGCCCTCCAAAGTCTTCCAACCTCTGCCTATTACCCAGTTCAAAAGCTACTCCCACATTTTCAGGCATCTTTAGAGCAATGCCTCACTCCTGAATACCAATTTTCTTAGTATATTTAGTGTTGCTATAAAGGAATATCGGAGGCTGGGTAATTTATTAATGAAAAGAGATTTGGCTCATGTTTCTGCAGGCTGTACAAGAAGCATGGCACCAGCATCTATAGCACCATGCCATTCATGAGGGACCCACACCATGATCTAAACAACTTCCACCAGGCCCCACCTCCAACATTGGAGATCAAAAAATTTCAACGTGAGGTTGGTGGGGCCAAAAAACCATAAGCAAATCGTAACAGATCTGTAATTAATTCTTAAATTCTTTCCAAAGAGTATACCAAGATGCAGTCTTATTTAAAGAAAATATTGTGTATGTTTTGGATTGGATGCTACCTACCAGATGACACTGTAGATCTCTTAAAGTTAGATTATAAACCCTTCAAAGCTATAAGAGTAGTATGGCCAGTTCACACAGGGTGAAGAACTATATCACTCAGCAACAATGGTAAGTTAAAATTCCAGTTAACTATCAGTTATCTGTTAAACAGATGCCCTGAAACAGCATAAGTAATTCCTCCCTCCCCACCAAAAGCTACTATAACATTAGTGTTAAAAATCACTGAGTTAGGGCTCTCCTACTCATTCTAAAAACATGAAGCTTTAAGTTTCCACGTGAAGGGTTTTTAAGACATTTTGTAATAACCTATACTTTTAGTCACTTTGCCAGGTTTTTCTTTGAGATTTTATTTGCCTCCAAAATCTATTAATAGGTCTTCTTTACCATTATTCCTATGAGGATATTGCTTGTGACCCCTCTCGAGCTGCCCCAGGGTCCTCATGTGTGATCTCCTCAGTACGGTAAAAACCTAACTTGTTTAACTACAGGTGTGTTCCTGGTGGTCTCTGCCTGAAGGGTATTAACATAATTATGGCATCTCCCAAATTAACTGATATTACAGGTTATGCAAAAAAGTAATTAGAGTCATTTTATTTTACAGATTAAAAAAAAAAAAAAAAACCCAAGACAGTATACTGTAGTTAGAAATAATTTTTGATACATTAGGTTATAATTTATTCCCATATATAAGCTTATTGTCATGATGAGAAAAGGTTTATAAAGTTTTTTGGGTTTTTTTTGGTTTCGTTTTAATGAAATAAATGTGCTAAGGTTCCTTTTTAGTACTTTTTGGGAATATGTTTTGATGACAGTAGAAAATAAATATTCAACATTAATTCACTAAACCACCAAAGAAGTAAAATTCTGATACTACCTCCAAAGTTAAAGATACCAGGCATATCTTAACTACTTCCCAAAAAAGACTAGGGAATTAGGTAAAAGAGTGAAAGCATTTGAGGATTTTTCAAGTTCCAGATGACCAGACCGAAACTTAATGTAAGCCATTGGCTACAGAATGAATGACAGCAAACGCTTAGGTTTTTATGCACTAGACACTATATGTAAACACTTACTTATGACAGTTCCTGATATGAGCTGTTAATCAATAAATGACCTCCATTCAGGCATTATAAACTATTTGATCCTTAAGGCAATTCCTATTTTGTGGTTCTAGGCAAATACTTATTGATAGAGCAATATAAATGTTAGCTTCCTAGATATGGCAACTGCTAAACACAGTTTTCAGAACTACATTAGATGCTAATGATAGACCTACAAAGACTAATTTTAAAGTGCATATCAGGAGATAATAAATCCTGCAGAAGCCTTAGCCTCTGTACATATAATCATAGGTTAAGCAGTTTTACAAATTCATGAACATTAAATTAATATGGAACAATCTAAAAAATAAAAAAACTCTTTAAGAGGCATTCAGTTTCTTATAGGCTTCTTCAATGAAGGTTGACATGCTCTTCATATGTGATGAATTATGAAGAATATCCAAGTCCTTTAGAAGAGCATTCTGGTTTGGAATTAGTGCCAAAATTTCTTTCTGTGGGAAAGATAGTATTAAATATAGTTGTTAACATTTTATTATGAGAAATCTCAAATGTATGTTAGAGAGAACAGTTTAAAATAAACCTTAAGTATCTATCACCCAACTTCAATAATTGTCAACTAATGGCCATTCTTCTTTCAAATCTCTCTCCCTCTCCCGATCCTGCTCCTTTCGCCACTGGTAAATGATTGAGAGGATTTTTTTTTTTTTTTTTTTTGAGGTAGAGTTTCACTCTTGTTGCCCAGGCTGGAGAACAATGGCGCAATCTTGGTTCACTGCAACCTCCATCTTCCAGGTTCAAGCAATTCTCCTGCCTCATCCTCCCGAATAGCTGGGATTACAGGCATGTGCCACCACGCCTGGCTAATTCTCTATTTTTAGTAGAGATGGTCAGGCTGTTCTTGAACTCCCGACTTCAGGTGATCCACCCGCCTCAGCCTCCCAAACTGCTGGGATTACAGGCATGAGCCACTGTGCCCAGCCCATAGGAAAATTTTAAATTACTTTTTAAGAAAACATGAAGACTTTCCAATGCTACAAACATTTACACTACAATATCTACTGGAGTCCTTTGAAGAAAGATAAATTACCAGTTTAGAGTTTACTACAAATAAGACAGCACTGTTTTATAAGGAGTTATATGCTATTGTTAAAAGCATAAAAAAACCAAACTGTCAATTATTTACTTCTAGAAATGTATCCTACAATTATGACTACACAAATCAGTAAAGACATACGTACAAGGGTGTACCCAGTCTTACCTGTAACAAAAAAATTATGTATTTCCATCAGTAATTTACAAATTATATGACCTCCATGAAACAGAATGTTACACAGCTATCAACAAAAATGAGCGATCTACATGACTGACAAGATGTTCAAACTATATAGTCAAATGAGCAAAGTAATTTGCCAAACCGTTTATATCAGGTTCCATTTGTTCAAAGAATGAAATAGGACATAATGTTTTCATATATATGTGATGTAAAACTGGTCTATTATATACAGGGATGCCTTATTTTACTGTGTTCCCAGATACTGCGTTGTTTTACAAACTGAAGGTTTGTGGCAACTCTGTGTGAAGGAGGTCTATCAGCACCATTTTTCCAAAAGCACATGCTCACTTTGTGTCTCTGTGTCACATTTTGGTAACTGTTGTAATATTTCAAACTTTAAAAATCATTACGGTATCCGTTATGGTGATCTATGCCTAGTGTTCTTTGATGGAACTGCTGTAATTGTTCTGGGTGCCACAACTGCAACCATATCAAACAGCGAACTGAATTGGTAATTGTTATGTGTTCTGACTGTTCCACCAACCGGCCATTTCCCAGTTTCTCTCCCTCTCCTTGGGCCTCCCTATTCCCTGTGACACAATGATATTGAAATCAAGCCAGTTAATAATGCTACAATGGCCTCTAAGTGTTCAGGTGAAAAGAAGAATCATGTCTCTTACTTTAAATCAAAAGCTAGAGATTACTAAGTTTAGTGAGGAAGGCATATCAAAAGCCACGCAAACCAAAAGTTAGGTCTCTTGTGCCAAACGCCCAAGTTGTGAATGCAAAGGAAAAGTACTTGAAGGAAATTTAAAGTGTTACTTCAGTGAATACATGAATGATGAGAAAGCAAAACAGCCTTACTGTTGATATGGGAAAAGTCTGAGTGGTCCGGATGGAAGATCAAACCAGCCACGACATTCCCTTTTAAACCGAATCCTAATCCACAGCAAGGCCCTAACTGTTTTCAAGTCTATGAAGGCTGACAGAAGTGAGGAAGTTGCAGAAGAAAAGCTTGAAGCTAGCAGAAGTTAGTTCATAAGGTTTAAGGAAAGAAGCTATGTTTAAAACATAAAAAGTACAAGGTGAAGAAGCAAGTGCTGATAGAAAAGCTACAGCTAGTTACCCAGAAGACCTAGTTAGCTAAAATCACTGGTGAAGGTGGCTATAGTAAACAACACATTTTCAATGTAAACAAAACAGCATTCTATTGGAAGAAGATGCTATCTCTAGGACTTTCATAGTTGGAAAGGAGAAGGCAATGCCTGGCTTCAACGCTTTAAAGGACATGGTTTTATTAGGCTCTTGTTAGGGGCTAATGCAGCTGGTGACATGAAGTTGAAGCCAATGCTCACTGATCATTCTGAAAATCCCAGGGTCCTTAATTCTCCTAAATCAACTACATCTGCGTTGTCTGTGCTCTGTAAATGGAACAACAAGGCCTGAGTGACAGTACATCTGTTTAGAGCATGGCTTACTGAATATTTTAAGCCCACTGTTAAGAGCTACTGCTCAGAAAAGAAGATTCCTTTGAAAATATTACTGCTCATTGAAAATGTTCACAGTTACCCAAGAGCTCTGATGAAGATATACAAGGAGATTGTTGTTTTCACATCTGCTAACACAACATCTATTCTGCAGTCTATGAATCAAAGAGTCATGTCAACTTTTAAGTCTTATTATTTAAGAAACACATTTCATAAGGCTATAGCTGCTCTAGGTAGTGATTTCTCTGATGGATCTGGGCAAAATAAATTGTAAACATCTTGAAAGAAATTTGCCGTTCTGTCAGTAGGAACATTCATGATTCACAGGAGGAAGTCAAAATACCAATAGCAGGAGTTTAGAAAAAATGGATTCAACTTTCAATCCTCATGGATGACTTTGAGGGGTTCAAGACTTTAGTGGAGGAAGTGACTGAAGATGTGGTGGAAATAGCAAGAGAACTAGAATTAGAAGTGGAGCCTGAAGATGTACATGAATTGCTGCAATCTCATGATAAAACGTGAATGGACGAGGAGTTGCTTCTTAAGGATAAGAAAGTGGTTTCTTGAGATGGAATCTATTTGTGATGAAGATGTTGTGAACACAGTTGAAATAACAATGAAGGATATAGAATACGACAAAAACTTAGTTGACAAAGCCAGGACAACGAATGAGAGAACTGACTCCAATTGTGAAGGAAGTTCTCCTGTGGGTAAAATGCTATGAAACAGCATCACATGCTCCAGGGAAATCTTTCGTGAAAGGACGAATCAACTGATGTGGCAAATTTCATTGTTTTCTTATTTTAAGAAATTGCCACATGCATCCCAACCTTCAGTAATCACCATGCTACCAGTCAGCAGCTATCAACATTGAGGCAAAACCCTCCACCAGCAAAAAGATTACGACCTGCTGAAGGTGCAGATGATGAACATTTTTTAGCAATAAAGCATTTTCCAAATTAAGGTATGTCCTTTTTTTTCTTTTATTTTTTAAAGAAATAATGCTTTTTTTGCACTTACAAGACTACAGTATAGTGTAAACATAACGTTTATATGCAGTGGGAAACCAAAACATTTGTGTGACTTGCGTTACTGCAGTATTTGCTTTTTTGCTGTGGTCTGAATCCAAACTTGCAATAGCTCTAAAGTATGCCTGTAATCGATATGGTAAATAGGTACTTACCTGAAGTGTGGGCGCTTTGAGAGTTTTCTGAGAAAGTTCTGGAAGAGAGAGTACTCCACTAGTATTTATTTGATGCATCTGAAGTAGAAGAAAGCTACAGATTATTTCAAAAAGCTGGTTTCTCTCATCATATTATACTCGAAAGCTGTCTTGGCATAATTTAACCATTAAAAAACTATATCCAAATTCCAGTAATACAGTTTAAAATAATTACCTGTTTTATCCTCTCCTCTTCTTCTTCCACCTCACTTGCCAGAATCTGAATTTTGTTCTTTAGGCTCTGAATATTCCCAGTCATTAACTCTGTGGTCTCTACCATTTTATCTATTTCTTCCTGAGTCAGAAAGAGAAAAAAAAAAAAAACATTCTAACTTAAACACATTATTATATTAAATCGTAACAGATATTGTTATACATACACATTTTTAAAAACACCATATACATTTAAAACATTTTTAGAAGCAAATGGCGAATTTACTTTTGTTCCTTTCAAAAAACAGACTTCTTGGAAAGCTGGTATGACAAGGTATTAATGTGTTATAAGGATATCTAATTACCCTGGAACAAAGAGATGTACATGAACACTTCCTCAAAACTTACCAATGCTGGTAGGGTCAGAGATCCTGGAAGATCCAAGTGTAAATCTAGCAGAGCCCAGAACTGATGACAGCAAATATAGTAACCTTCCTTAAACAGCATAAAACTTCATGTAGTGGAGAAATGCTGAATTGTTTTCATTTATTTAGGAACATTTGAGAGTCTGCTATTTTAATTTGTCAAAAGGAAGTAATGTTGGGCATTAGAGCAGGGAGAATAATAAAAAAAATGAGTAACAGTTTCCCACATTAAAGGAATATATAATTTAGAGGGGAAGATGAAAAGAAAATAAGAAATGAATAAAACAAGTATGGGGACAAGACATTAAGGATGTGTTGTGTGCAGGCTGAGGATAAAATTAAAATTAGCAAGTCTCCAGGTTTCTAAATGGTATTAAATATGGCACTGCTTTCAAATATAGTCCTAGCAACAGTCAATGATAACATTGCCTGCTGGCTTTGGGGAACAAGTAAATAAGCCACACAGAAAATATACAGAAGTAGTAACTCTTACATCTTGTTCAGCAATAAGGTTGATGCTATATCTATGTCATTCTCCAAATACTGGATGCAGAACTGTTGCTGGCAACTAGAGTAGTCTTCCTCAAGAAATATATTTTGGCTTCTAAATGACCACTTTTTTTTTTAAAGGGTAGCTGCAGGGGTCAACAATTGCCCATGGCATATTTTTGTACAGTTCAAGAACTGTGAGTTGTTTTTACATTTTAAAAGATTGGTCAAAACCTCAACAAAACAAAAGGATATGCAACAAAACAGTCAACCATATGTGGTCCAAAAAGGCTAAAATGTTTATTGTCCGGCCCCTTACTGGGAATGTGCTGTTCCCTGAATGCCTAAGATTTTGGGACTGTGAGCTCTATTCACTTGAATCTAAACTCCATGGAGGAACAGACTCTGTTTTTATTTTTTGTTATAGTAAATTTCAAACACATACAGTAAGAGAGAATGTTATCATGAACACCCATATACGTATCAGCCAGTTTCCATTATCAACTCATGACAATCTTCTTTTTTTTTTTTTTTTTTGAGATGGAGTTTCGCTCTCGTTGCGCAGGCTGGAGTGCAGTGGCGCTATCTTGGCTCACTGCAACCTCTGCCTCCTGGGTTCAAGTGATTTTCCTGCCTCAGCCTCCTGAGTAGCTGGGACTATAGGCGCCTGCCACCATGCCCAGATAATTTTTTTTTTTCTGTATTATTTGTAGAGACAGGGTTTCACCATGTTGGCCAGTCTGGTCTTGAACTCCTGACCTCTGGTTATCCGCATGCCTCGGCCTCTCAAAGTGCTGTGATTACAGGCGTGAGCCACCGTGCCTGGCCCGTGGCCATCCTGTCACACCTTTAACTCCATCCACTTCTCCTGTTTCCCCTGCGCTATTTCAAATACTAGATATCCCATCATTTTATCTATAAATATTTCAGTATATAGCTCTAAAGGATTTAAAGATATATGAGTACAACATCATTACTATACTTTAAAGAATCTCAATAAATTCCTTAATATCAAGCATATAGTTAGTATTCACATTTTCAATTTTCTCATCAATTGGAGTTTTTTTTACATTTTGTTTTAATCAGGTTCCAAACTGTGACTGGTTGATATGTCTTAAGTCTCTTTTCATCTATAGGAGGCTTCCATTTCAATTCATTTGTGGAGATTAGTTCGCTCTGTGGAATTTCCCATGGGCTAAATTTTGTGAACTGCATTCCCTGGTGAAGTTTAAACTGGTTCCTCAGCCCTGTATTTTCTGTGAATTGGTTGCTGGATCTAACAGAGTGCTGTCCAATATAAATATAAAGCAAACCACATATATTAGTTTCCTGTGGCTGCTGTACCACCTACTTGGCTTAAAATAACAGAAATTCATTCTGTCATGGTTCTGGAGGACAGAGTCCAAAATCGAGCTGTTGGCAGGGACACAATCCCTCTGAAGACAAGAGAGAATGGTTTCTTGTCTTTTTCAGCTTTTGGTAGCTGTACGCATTCTTTGTAGCTGCATTGCTCTAGTTTCTGCCTTTGCCTTCATGTGACTTTTTCTTTGTACCTTCTCTTGTCTTTTATAAGAACACTTGTCGTTGGATTTGGGACCTACCCATGACAATACAGGATGATTTCATCTTGAGATCCTTAACTGTATCTGACAAGACCCTTTTCCTAGATTCAACCCACTACAAAGGGAATGTATAACAGCACTGAATGAATAAAAGGGTTAAATATAACAAGGATTAAAATTTCTCATTATGAAATTTATTTTGTTCCATTGCTTTGGTTATCTTTGGGTATTACTACCATACTCATATGGTATCTTCTTTGAGGATTTTTTTCTCAATTCCTTTTAAAAATGTTTTTATGATTCTGAAAATTTTCTCCTTATGTTATTTTCTATTTACCATAAGCATTATCTGTTGTGTTTATTTGCTTTAGTGTTTCTTCTAATTTAGTCTACATATCTGAAAGGCTTTTTCTTTTATGTCTCATTCATTCCTGAATTCTCTTCTTTCATTTATCAGTATTTCTAATTCTGATTTATAATTTTTCCCCTATACCTCCTATCATTTTTTCTGAATTTATTTCAGTTCACTTGATAAATTAGGTTAATGTTCATCTGTTCTAGGCACATGTCTTTTTGGCATGTTTTCGGTGTATCAGGAATGTTATTTTTGGTCTTTATTGTCATATTTTCTTATGCTAACTCTGATTCTGAAATCCTATGGCTCCATTTTTATGACAACATCAAGGGAGTCTAAAAATTTATGCTTCAGCTGTTCTAATGCTGTCTCCCCAGAATCTCCGAGATATTGCTCACCATTGTTGTTTCCCCAGCACCATTACTGAGTGAGAGCACAACAAAAATGTTAAATAAATAAAATTTCTGTTACTATTACAGGTTTTAGAAGATCATCACCAGCAATAGCTCTAGGCTGCAGTGAGACAAAGCAATGGGTCTAAGGCACAGAGGAGAAAACTAACGGTTATAGATCGAGTTTACAAGCTGCTAGTCCGAAAATCCTCTTATGCCAATGAAGAACTCTCCTGCCCCAGGTGCCAGTGGTGCTTCTTCTGAGTGACTAACAAGCACACCATAGACTGTAATTATGCTTATGTCCCATGGAGGTCAAATTTCAGCTGAAGACCAGAAATGCTTACAAGTAGCATAAAAATCATACTATCATTTATGACTTCAGAACACCCTTAACTGATGTGCATAAATACTAAATGTTAAAATTCTCCATGATCATACTCTTGAACCTTTTAAAATAACCTAAATAAATGTCATCTAAGTGTTTAGGTGATGAAGCTAGTGCCAATACTGAAAAGATGCCCTAAAAAAGTAGGAACCTTGGGATGGAAATAAAATATAATATTACACTTCGAATAAAGTGAGGTAGCCACCAGAAAATGCCACCCTATTAACTAAAAATATATATAGATTTGTGCTCAGAAATTGTTCCTTCAACTTTATTCTCAATCTTATGGAAAAATGGGAATGAATTGTTACCTTTGAATTATTATACATTTTGGGAATATATTCCTTGCAGAAACTACTACCACCTTGTACTTAACTAAATTGCAACTAAAATCTATGCACACGACATCTACAAACTACTTCAAAATGTCTAAAGGATATACGGTCTGATGTGTGTTAGTTTATATAATTATCTAATAAGCTCCTTAAGGTTGCTTTGTCTCAGTTGTTCAGATATCCACTAATTAAAAGCTTGAAGTTAACCATGATAGATAAGGTTATCTCCTATTATCTTCCAAAGGATGCCATATAACATAGTGATCAAGAATCGTGCTAATGTCAGAATGACAAAGTTAGCATCTTAACTTTAAGCAATCTGTCTAAGGTTCAGTTAGAAATAGCATTATGTCTTTTTATCACATTTGTAAAAAGAGAATAATTTAGGTCATACTCTAAGTCATGTGAGGATTAAGGGATATAAGTATAAAGTGCTTAGAACAGTGTCTGAAGTGTAGGAAGTCCCCAGTACATTTTAACTCTAATGATACTTGTGTTTTCTTGCCATATACAGGTCAGAAAAACTTACACGTTTTAAAATTCCACAGTATTGAGTGATAAACTCCTATAAAGTGATAATTAAAAATACTAAGATAGTTCAGTTAAAGTTAGATGAAAAAAATAGGACTGCTACTTAACCACAAATATATTAGAAATACTTCAACTTTAGAGGTGCCAAGTTCAGACAAATTTTTGCTTTAATGAAAAAAAAAAAAAACAATTTAATGAAAAAACCTGGTTCAAGATCTAGTATTCACTACTGCAGGAACATCATGATAATTTAAAAAACTTTAATCTTTTCCCCTTTCCCTAACTCTCTAATTATGGATTTCCTATTCAAATTTCATACCTGCAGTAATGCCAGACCTTCTTCATTAGCTTTGCCTCTTGCCCTTTCCATATTCAGTAGCCTTGACACATTAGTTAAATCTTCCATCTTTTTGGGAGGGACTTTCAGAGTTTCACACAGTTGTAGCAATCTTAAGGATAAAATAAAAACGTAATTATTTTGTTTATTTTTTAAGTCTTATTATTATTTTAAAACAGTCCTCATTTTTTCTTGTCCTCATATTCTTAAAAGGTACAATATTCTTTTATTACCACTGGGTAACAGTGCCAGTAAGTCTCCCCCTCAAAAAGCCCTGACAAATCATCATTTAGCCTTTCGATTTATTAAGATTTACCTCAAATTAAGGGACACTGGGGCTACTTTACTAAAAGAAAATTTTCTATTTTACACATTTGACGATGTATATACATTTTAGAACCAAAATTTCCTTGTACCATCCAGATGTTTTCTAGACTATTACAGGACATGAGTCTATCATATATTGTGAATTGTTGGTTAAGAGACAGAACACTAGTCTAGAAGTCTTAACTATGACCCTGGACCCCAAATCTCAATGATTTTAGAGAATGTGATAAAAAATAGAGAAGATTTACCTTAGTTATTTTAAATGATTTCAAAGAAAACTAAGTTCTATAGAGTTCAAGGTAAATAAAACACTAAGATTAAAGTGCACTGCTCGAAAATACTATAAACATGAATGGTATTTAATATTAAAGTTAAAAAATTCCTTTATAAATTCGAGTTGATTTGATCACCAGTAGAAACATCTATTTCTATCGTCACATCTGGCAGACCGCAAAATAGCTTTCCCAGATTTGATTCTTGAATTTTATGAGGAAGAAAAGCTAAATTTGATTCCTTTTATAACAGCAGCATCTTCGCGTTCTAAAAAGTTCTACTACTTAAGATTTGAAGAAATCTGAACAATAGTGGAACCCACTGTCCCACTTTTGGGATCTTGTTAAAAATCTTAATTAAAAAAAAAAAAGAATCTTTTATTTTAGATTCAGGAGTACATATGCAGGTTATGTAGGCAAATGTTGTGGGGCTTTGGTGTACAGATTATTTTTTCACCCAGGTAATAAGCATAGTACCTGACAGATAGTTTCTCAACCCTCACTCTCCTCCCTCAAGTAGGCCCTGGTATCTGTTGTTCCCGTCTTTGTGTCCATATGTACTCAATGTTTAGCTCCCACTTGGGAGAACATGCATTATGTGGTTTTCTGTTCCTGTGTTAGTTTGCTTAGGAAAATGACCTCTAGCTCCAACCATGTTGCTGCAAAGGACATGATCTCATTCTTTTATGGCTGCATAGCATTCCAAGTTTTATATGTCCCACAATTTTCTTTATCTGATCTACCGCTGATGGGCATTTAGGTTGATTCCATGTCTTTGCAATTGTGAATAGTTCTGTGGTGAACATAAGTGTGTATGTATCTTTATGGTAGAGCAATTTATATTCCTTCACGTATATACCCAGTAATGGGATTGCTGGGTTGGAGGGTAGTCTGTTTTAACTTGAGAATCTGCCAAACTGCTTTCCATAATGGTTGAACTAATTTACATTCCTACTAGCAGTTTAAAAGCATTCCCTTTTCTCGGCAACCTCCCAGCATCTGTTACTTTTTGACTTTTTAAGAACAGCCATTCTGACTGGTGTAAGATGGTATCTCATTGTGGTTTTCATTTGCATTTCTCTAGTAATTAGTGATGTTGAGAGCATTTTTTTTCACGTTTGTTGGCTGCATGTATGTTTTCTTTTGAAAAGTGTCTGCTCATGTCCTTTGCCCACTTTTTAATAGGATTATTGGTTTTTTGCTTGCTAATTTAAGTTCCTTACAGAGTCTTGATATAGACCTTTGTTCGATGCATAGTTTGCAAATAAAATTTTAATTTTTGTAAAGAAGAAAGTAGGCAGCAAAAACTCCACAAATCGTAATTCTCATTAAACTGTTAAGACAAAACTCCAGTTATTTAGAAAAATCATCATTAGGCTATCACATTTAAACACAAACTATATCTGCCTAAGCTTTCCTAAGAGGGATAAGTTTTTTATTTTCTTGACAAAAATATTTTATTTATGAAGTTTCTTCTATATGTTTATTAAATCAATTATGTAGAAGGGTCATTCACTGCTCCAAATGTTCTAAATAGCAGTTAGACTTCCAGGAGTCTCACTAACTCTTAGAAACTAAAACCATGGCTTGAATATATCCTACTATATCAGCAACATTTAATTACCACTTACAACATTGTTTCTATAGGGCAGACTTTCTAGAAGTATGTTCCTTTAGAATTGTAATGGTGAACAGTTTTGTTTGCCTAGCAAACTTGTCAGTGTAATCATGGGGCTAGGTATATAATCCAGTCTATATCAGTGATATCCATGGTAGCTCTTGTCACAAAATCACGCCAAGAATAGATAAATATCACCTAAGCTCAACCAATTAGAAACCATCTCCTAGAATTTTCTAACTGAAGCTAAGGGGTAAGAATTGTCTTTTTCCTCTTTCTTTACAAGGCTAAAATGATATATATAGGTAGCTGCCTATCACTATAGTTGTAATCTAGTAAGAACTGAAAACTAAAAAAATGAAAATAATGAAGCTAACATTTAGTCAAAAGCAGAGATGAGCTTAATATATGAAAATGAGTTCCCAGAAATATCAATTTGGGAGATGCTAGGTTAAAGAAAATGAAATAGATTTATTTACTGCAGGACTTCTTACATGCTAAGGTACCCAAATATAATTCACCATAGGTTATCTTTATCCACAGACTAACTGTAAGAACAAGTGTTTCAAATATACTTTGAGAAACACTGCTACAGAAGAATGTATTTAGAGTTCCAATTATCAGTTTGCTAATGCTATACTTTGTTGTATTGGTATAAGTAACTGTATCTTGGGTATGGTTACTTCGGAACGAAAGAAAGCAAGCTGTGAAAGTAAAAATAAGGAAGAAATAGTCAGGCCTTGAAATGTATATCTCCATAGCTGCTACATGATGAAGAGACTGCCTATCCGTTAAATATAATCTTTTCCAGTGAACCAAGGTGATCACTATGAACAGCAACTATTATGTAATGCAATATTCTCATTCATACAGTCAACATTAGTATTTGTCCTATATTAAAAAGATCATAAACAGCTACATTTTCATTATGCTTGTATTAGCTTATTTATTATCTTTTTAATATCTTCCTCCTTCTTTAATAATAGGCTGCTATACCTTTAAGCAATTTACAAGCCTGCTTCTAGCAGTCTTTAATTTGTTCAACCTTTCTCAACAAACTCCCACCCCCACCAAAACCATCCCATTCACTCTTTCTACTTGGCTACTATGGGCTGAAAATTATATTTCAAGGAAAAGTAAATAGAATTTGTGCTCAAAGGAATTCCTTAAAATAGGTCACAAACATTTCTAGGCAAACTTGAAACTGAGAAGCAGAACATTTTCTTATAAAAAGAAAAAGTCGTGTAAATACTAGAGAAAAGTAATTACTGAAAATCACAGGCAGTGGTGTGCCTTTTAAGAATTCTTGAAAAGAAATCTCCATTGGTGATTTACCATGACATGAAGAGCAATAATATCTTAGAAAATTAGACTTGTTGCTCGTGCAAATAATTTAAGACAATATGAAGTGGAAAAACACAGCAATAGGGTAAATATCAGATAGATAAGAGTGGTGAAATATTAACTTCAAATTATTAAAAATGAAGTTGAAGGGAGTTCAAGTTGACAAAACTGTTTTCAAATTCTGATATGGAAGAGTGAACTGTGGAAACAGAATTTTGTGATTTTCAGGGTTTTTTTTTTTGTAAGTGCCCCTGAAACTTATTCGAGAAATACATGCAGCAGCAGGTTAGAAAAAAAAGAAAACATATTTCCAAGTTGTTCACCTTCTTTAAAAAAAAAGAAAAACTTACATTCCACCAAGTGTCTGTTTGGCAACATAGGAAGAAGTCAGGTTTTTAAAAATTTTGTTTTAATCATTTTAATTATGCAACAGTATTACCTGTTCTTCAGGAAGTTGAGATGGTATTGTATTTCTTCTTTATCTTTAATTCTGTTACTCAAAATCGTCCTAGAGAAGAAAAAAGATGGAATAAATAGTAGTCTGAAACACAAATAATAATATACTCTGTGTATTTTTTCTGATTTCTCTCAAGTGTCCCTCCCTACTAGCCAGGCAAAATCAATCACTTTTCCTTTCATATTAAAGACACTTTAAATAGAGGTACAATGAAAAATTTCTACTTATGTATATATTTTGCCACACTGTACTGTAATAATTTATATGCCTGGCTCTTCTGATAGAATTCAGCTCCACACAGCAGAATTCTGTCTTATTTTCTCTGTATCCCCTCTAGTGTGGTAGCTTCTATGTAAAGTGTCACTCTGAACTCAACGTCTTCCTAAACAATCTCTATTGACATAAATTAAAATTTTGTTGATAGCAAGTCAGGCCACAAACACTTGCTTTTATTTCACTGATAGAATTTCAAGTTTCTAAAATTAACAAAGACTTTTCTGCCGAAGGCAAATACCACCACATCAATTATATCCTCTTCCGAAATAGAAATATACTCTATTACCTTAAGATAGATAGCAATATTTAAAAGAACAGTATCCATAGGAAACGCCTAAGTGGGAACCAAAAGAATGAAATGGAAAAATTTTATACTCACCTTATTACTGATTCCATCATAGTTTGCAAATAGTCTCTGGTACTCTTTGACAGAGGTTGCCAGGTTTTTCTCTTGTTGGGTGCTATCTTTATCTGTTTTAGGTTAGTGTGCTTTGTTTGTCCTGTTGTAATAGAAGAGGCTCTGATCAATCTAGGTGTTTTACATATCGTTGCTTAAAAACTGAATGTCTGCATCTAAAAAAGCTTATGAAATTAACAGAACAAAATATTATAAAGCTGTATAAACTGTTTAATTTACTTTTTATCACACAGCTATAACATCCCAGGTGTTGAATATGAATATGCTTTCTATTGATAAGTTAACGGAAATACTACCAAGTGATAATAGAAATAATTTTAAATGAAGAATCGAACTTTAATTATGAAAAGTTTCATTCTCAGAAATGGCCTAAATTCTTTAAACATTTCATTGAGAGGCCCAGAAAACTATTTTCCAAATGTTGGATGGCAACTGGAACAAAACAGACTAATCAAACAGTGTCAACTATGTTGTTGGTACTCTTCTACTTATTAGGTATTAGAAAAAGAAGAAATAGTACTGGATCTCATGAAAATCAGTGCTGAAGAGAAGGAATATTGAACAAATTATAGGCGTGCAAAGCATACAAAAGGAAAAAAAAAAAGTATTGTATGCTATGGGAGTATAAAACCAGAGGACCTAACCTAGTGTTGGCTGAGGAGACGTAGAGAATCCTTCCACGAAACAGTGATGTTTAAGCAAAGACAACTACTCCAAACTAGTTTACTCTAAACCAACTTATAATAGTGGTTCCAAACTAATCTATACAGAACAGAAAGCATATTTGTCTTGAAGAAAAATCAGGTTTGTTTTTTATTACAGATCACTAATAATTCAGGCTGTGGGCCACTTTGATTTTCTCTATTTCCTATCAACTCAGTGGCATTGAAGTCTCTACAGCATTTTGCCAGAGGTGCTAAATAAAATTTCAGTTGACCAAAATAACTAACCACTACTACATATTCTTACAAAAATGCAAATGTAGTTGTTTATTACTATCTTTTCCATAACTCATAAACAAGATGCTGAACATTTTTTCATGAATGTAGATATAGCTTGACATAGAAGCAGGTTAAACAAGGTAATAGAAAAGAAATACCTTCAGAAAACAGATCTTTTAGATGATTTTTATTTCTTTTCACTGTGTTTCTAACCTAGAGGGGAAAACACATGCATAAACATAAACAGAATTAAACATCAGATAAAACGATACTACTTTTACAATAGATTTTTATATATGTCAAAGAGTATTCATATAATTTCTAGTAGATAGAAAAAATGTATGTTGCTACTTCTACAGAAAAATGGTATATATTTATCACAGGCAGACGATATACTAAAGCAATTCTTGACAATGGTGATAATAACAAAATTTTATACAGTGTCAAAGAATGTTTTAAATGAATCATTACTTACTTTGCCTATGAAATAGTGTTACATACTTTTCCTCCAAAACAAATATAGGCATTGCCTAATGAGTAGGGTAAAACCTGAAACTTTTTTTTTTTTTTTTTCAGATGGAGTCTCATTCTTTTCGCCCAGGCTGGAGTGCAGGGGCACAAACTCGGCTCACTGCAACCTCCACCTCCTGGGTTCAAGCGATTCTGCGGCCTCAACTTCCCGGGTAGCTGAGATTACAGGTGCACACCACAACTCCCGACTAATTTTGTGTGTGTGTGTGTATATGTGTGTGTATATATATATTTATACTTTTTTTTTTTTTTAAGTAGAGACAGGGTTTCACCATGTTAACCAGGATAGTTTTGATCTCCTGACCTCGTGATCCACCCACCTTGGCCTCTCAAAGTGCTGGGATTACAGGCATGAGCCACAGTGCCCGGCCCTAGTCGAAGATTTCTAAATGAGAAACTTGATATTTTCATTACCTTTTTCTCTGACAACACAACTTCCTCATTATCCTTTTTTCTCTTTGGATTTCTTTTTAACTGCTCAAAGTTTTTCTTGGAAACATTTGCTTTACCAGACATCTTGATCTAAACACAGTGCTTCCAAAAAAAAAAAATCTGTAAAGATGAAAATACAAAAAAAGCTAAAGCCTTGCACAATGTTTTGTTTAAAAAACTTACCTATAAATGTTCCACATTCTCTTTTCTTTTTTTAAAGAAAAATCATAATAAAAGTTTGGGGATAGTATTGTATGCTTTTAAACAAACATATTTTAAAACAAATAATTTTCACTCTTATCAGAATAAGGATATCTAATTCAATTTCATTCCTAGAAATTAACTTCCATTTGTATGGATTTTAGAAAATCATTTAAAAATGCTTTTGTATCTCTTATTTTATACTCTATCGTATGATAACATCCTCTCAATGTTTAAGTCCATGGAAATAGAAATATAAAGTGGTCACAGATAATGTCAGTTCAAGGAGTAAAACCTAGGTCTTGTTATTTTAAGTAATAAATTTAACATTACTCAATTTTTGCCAAAAATGGAAGGAGACACTTTTTAGGATTATACCATCAATCTATGTGGAAATTCATGTGTTAGTCTGACACTACTAAGAATTTAAACTGCAATCCTATCTGGGCTATGTGCATTTTAACAAGAGTACAGAAATGTACTGATTACCCTGCCCTCCCGCAAATTACAAAACAGACATGGGATTGGAAATGGGGATTTGATAAAATTTAGAGTAATTTTCCCTCTTTTATTACCAAACTCATTTCTGATAAAAGGAACAGAAGAATGAGATACTTATTCTTGCATTACACCATAAGAAGTGGATAGAAGTTAGATGCAGTATACAAGGAAATATGCACATATTAGCTATATATGCCTAGAAAATATATATATACACATACAAATACATATACATATTAGCTATAGCTAGATATACAGATAAATTATTCATCATTCCTTTTCTAAATATTCAGAATTATCATACTGATACAATTTAAATATACCTGTGGATTTAGAGAGACAATAAAGTAGGTACTCTGGATAAGTCTATTCTTTCAAATGTTAAAAGCTTCAAGCTCCCTTCCACTGAAGACTGCAAATAAAAAGTGGGAAAGAATTAACAGAAAGGTCACAAACTACATTTAGCAACCACATATCTGACCAGTTACAAAAAGCAGTAGAAGTCAAAATACCACTTTACCCTGCTCTTGAACAATGTGATACCTTACCAAACACTCATTCTCTATCTTGTGTTCAATTTCTAAAATGCCTACTTCCCTCAACTTTACATCTACACCCTTATACCTCCCCTACTTAAAAACCCATCCACATGACAAAATTTCACTTGTAGATCTCTCCTGGAAGGGCTGACATGTACAGCAGTTCAAGTTGTTCACTGAATAAAAGCATCCAGTGAAAGGGCAAGTGACAGCTGAGATTTTAGATTAAAAATGGTACCCATTCCTTCTTACGATTGTTAATGAGAAATAAGGTGTTATGTCCCCATGTCTTAAATCTCGGCAGACTCTGAAGCTGTTTGAGCAGCAGACTATAGTAGAAGTGATTCTGTTCTAGCTTATTGGCTTAGATATGAAGAGACTGGCAACTTTGACTTCCTCTTGCTTAGAAACACTTATTTTTTTTTTTTTTTTTTTTTTTTTTTTGAGACAGTCTTGCACTGTTGCTTGGGCTGGATCTCAGCTCACTGCTGCAACCTCTGCCTCCCAGGTTCAAGCGATTCTCCTGCCGCAGCCTTCCAAGTAGCTGGGATTACAGGCACCCGCCAGTACGCCCAGCTAATTTTTTGTATTTTTAGTAGAGATGGGGTTTCACCATGTTGGTCAGGCTGGTCTCGAACTCCTGACCTCAAGTGATTCTCCTGCCTTGGCCTCCCAAAGTGCTGAGATTACAGGCGTGAGCCACCGAGCCCAGACAACACTTGCTTTTGTAACCAAGCCATAACCATATGAGGGATGCCAACACTGAGAGGAATTGAAACCCCAGGAAGGTCTTAGCTGAGCTCCCAGCTAACAGCCAGCACCAACTTGCCAGTCTGGTACATGTACCTAAGTCAATATGTTACAGCCCACACTGCGTGGACAAGACATGAGCAAGCTCTGCCTAATCCCTCCCAATCCCAAATTTTGGAACAAATTAAGTGAGTAAAAAATTTACCCCTATATGTTCTGGGTAACAGTCAAACTCTTTCCCATGCCATTTTTAGTTCTTAACAACCTAACTCTGCCTACCTGTTCATACTTCTCTCCTACTACTCCTTAATCAAATCTCCCTCTCTAGCTAGATTTGATGATTTACTGAACACACTTTGAGTAATTCTGCCTCCCAAACATATACTGTACCTTCTACCTGAGCAGCTCTCTCCCATCTCTGCCCCCGCTCTCAGATCATGAGCCACCTACTTCTCAAAATCTTCCTAACTATTCTACTTCATTTCTCTCCAAGTCTGTGGCTCTTACGCTCTCTCTCATTTGGCACTTATTTATAGTTTCGTTCCATTAATCATTTTCTTCTTGATATTCTTTATTAAAATAACATGTAATTTAGTGCTACTCCAAATCTCATTCAAACTGTTTGCCATAATCCTTTCAAGTGTGGAAATTGAAGGTAATCACTTAGAAATTTTTACAGCAATTTGATAGAGTAATTTTATGCACATTGAACCTAATCATAAAATAATTAGCCTTGTCTTTGCCATATCATTTTCTAGTAATTACTATTTCTTTAAAAACAGACTTTTTTCAGAACAGTTTTAGATATACAGAAAATTGAGCAAAACATACAGAAACTTCTTATATAATCCCTGCCCTCCCCCATCCCCTGCAAGCCCTAGTATTAACATCACACACCAAAGTGGTACATTTGTTGTAATTGTTGACACATCATATTACCCAAAATGTATTGTTTACATCAGAGTTCACTCCTGGTATTATACCACAAGGCAGTTTGACTATAATTGATTTTTAATTGCATTTTACAAAATTATCAGTTATGACTGATTAGAAATAAAAAACAAAACCGGTCTAACAGAGTTTGAGAAATACTGTTAACAATGAAACCTACTTGAGGCACCACACTATAGCACAAAGTTTCTCAACCTCAGCACTATTAACATTTTAGATGGATCATTCTTTATTGTGGAGTCTGTGGTGTGTATTGTAGGATGTTAAGCAGCACGCTTGGGTCTACATAGACCGTCACATGCTAGAATACCTCCAACCGCTGAGTAGAGTCAACCAAAATTGTTTCCAGACATTGCCAAATGTCTCCTGGGTCAAAATTAACCCAGGTTGAGAACACTACCATAATGGTTAAGAGCAGTCCTGCGACAAGGGTAAATTGTTCAAGCTCCAAATCTAGCCCTGCCGCTTAATTAACTGTATATCTTTGGGCAAGTAAATTAACTCATTTTCCCTATTAGTCAAATGATTAATAAAAGTACTAACATTAAAGGCTTTTGTAAAGCAAAAATGATTTAACAAAGAATATATAAACCACCTAGAACAGTATTTGAGACATAGTAAGAATCCAATAAACAAAATACATAGTTTCTCTTAATTCTGGGCTACTTGCAGTGCATATAAAAATGAATAGATATTTCGTCCCATTCAAGGGAAACCACAGCTTAGTGATAGTGCATAGGTAGAGACAGATATGAAAATAATTACTCTATATATTTATAAATGTTATAAAGAGGCAAGTGAGCATATGACTGTCTTAAACTGGTTTGTGCATATGGGTAAGAATGTATAGGCCTAACTCTTTTTATTGTGTTTCACTTTATTGAGCTTCGCAGACACTGTATTTTGTTGTTGTTGTCATCTTACAAACTAAAGGTTGTGGCAAGCCTGCATTGAGCAACTATATTGATGCCCTTTTTGCAACAGATTGTCCTCACTCTTCATGTTTCTGTGTCACATTTTGATAACTCTCAAAATATTTCAAAACTTTTCATTATTATATCAATTATGGTGATTGATGTTACTACTGTAATTGTTTTGGGGCACTATGAACCATGCCAATATCAGACAGAGAACTTAATAGGTAAATGTTGTGTGTGTTCTGACTGCTCCACCAACTGGCTGTTCCCTGCCTCTCTCCCTCTCCTTAGGCCTCCCTGTTCCCTAAGACACAATGATATTGAAATTAGGCCAATTGATAACCCTACAATGGTCTCCAAGTGTTCAAATGAAAGGAAAAATCACACCTCTCTCACTTTAAATTAAAAGCTAGAAATGATTAAGCAAGGTGAGGTAGGCATGTCGGAAGCCAAGATAGGCTGGAAACTATACCAGTTAGCCAAGTTGTGAATGCAAAGGGAAAGTTCTTGAAGAAAATTTAAAGTGCTATTCCAGTGAAGACATGAATGATAAGAAAGCAAAAACAGCCTTATTATTGATAGATAGGGAGAAAGTTCGAGTGGTCTGGCATTGAAAATCAAACTAGCCACAACACTCCCTTAAACCAAAGATGAATTCACGGCAAGGTCTTAACTCACTTCAATTATGTGAAGGCTGAGAGAGGTGAGACAGCTGCAGCCAAAGAGCTTGAAGCTAGCAGAGCTTGGTTCCTGAGGTTTAAGGAAATAAGCCATCTCCATAACACGAAAGTACAAAGTGAAGCAGCAAGTGCTGATGCACAAGCTGCAGCAAGTTATCTAGTTTTAGGTAAGATAACCGATGAAGGTGGCTACACTAAACAACAGATTTTCCATGAAGACAAAACAGCCTTCTCTTAGAAGATGCTGTCTAGGAGTTTCATGTCTAGAAAGTCACTGCCTGGTTTCAAAGCTTCAAAAGACAGGCTGACTCTCTTGTTAGGGGCTAATGTGGCTGGTGACTTGAAGCCAATGCTCATTGACCATTCTGAAATATCCTAGGGCTCTTATTCTTTTAAATCTACTCTGTCTGTGCTCTGGAAATGGAAGAACAAAGCCCGAGTGACAGCACATCTGTTTACAGCATGATTTACTGACTATTTTAAGCCCATCTTTGAGACCTACAGCTCACAAAAAGATTCCTTTCAAAATAATACTGCTCAAAGACCATGTACTTGGTCACCCAAGAGCTCTGATAGAGATGTACAAGGAGATTAACGCTGTTTTCATGTCTGCTAACTAACACATTCATTCTGCAGCCCATGAATCAAAGAATAATTCTGACTTTCAAGTTATATTATTTAAGAAATGCATTTTGTAAAGCTATAGCTGCCCTAGACAGTGATTCCCCTGATGGATCTGGGCAAAATAAATTGAAAACTTCTGGAAATGATTCACCATCCCAAATGCTAGTAAGAACATTCATGAGTCATGGAAGGAGGTCAAAATAGCAACATTACCAGGAGTTTGGAAAAAGTTGATTCCAACCCTCATGGGTGACTTTGAGGGGTTCAAGACTTCAGTGGAGGAAGTGGCGAAAGATCTGGTGGCAATAGCAAGAGAAAGAGTGGAGCCTGAAGATGTACCTGAATTGCTTCAATATCACGATAAAACTAGTGGATAAGAAGTTGCTTCTTACGAATGAGCAAAGTTCTTGAGATGGAATCTACTCCTAGTGAGAATGTTGTGAATATTGTTGAAATACCAACAAAGAATTCAGAATATCACAAAAACTTACCTGCTAAAGCAATGGTAGGGGTTAAGAGGATTTACTCTAATTTTGAAAGAAGTTCTACAGTGGGTAAAATGCTTTCAAACAGCATCGCCATTTACTAAGAGATTAGTAAAAGATTCACTAAGAGAAATCTTTAGTGAATGGAAGAGTCAACTGCTGTACAAACTTCATTACTTTGTTATTTTAAGAAACTGCCACAGCAGCTCCAGTCTTCAGCAACCGTCACCCTGATTGGTCAACAGCCATCAACATCAAGCAAGACCCTCCACCAGCAAAAAGATTAGGACTTGCTGAAGGCTGAGATGATTGTTAGCATTTTTTAGCAATAAAATATTTTAAAATTAAAGTATGCACAGTATTTTTTTTAAACACAACGCTATTGCACACTTAATAGGTTACAATACAGTGTAAATACAACTGTTATATGCACTGGGAAACCAAAAAAATCATGTGACAGGCTTTATTAACTTTATTGTGGTGGTCTGGAACCGACCCCGCAATATCTCAGAGGTATGCTTGTACATTATTCATGGAAAAAGTATTATTTTAATGACGTTTTGAAATAGTGAAAAAGTAGAGAAATGAAGCATCCAAGGGAAAACAGTAAAACTCGGACGGCAGGAAAGCTCGGGAAAAACAAACAAACAAAAAAAACTGGCGTGTTCAGGGACAGGAAAAGTTCAGCGAGGTTTTTAATGTGTATAGGAGGAGTGAAAAGAAATAAGGCTGGGACAGTAGTTTGCCGCCAGACTATATGCTTTAGGAGAGAGAGAGGCATTCTAGGTTGTCTTGTTTTCCTTACCAGATTGTTGATACTCATGGGACTCAATTATCTCAATTTAGACCTCTATGGGCACAAGAGTGAGTAGGACGCCTGGAAAAACAGACACTAATGTCCCAGGCTGCACTTGACTTCACTCGTGCCTGCGGAAGAAATCCAGCAATGAGGATGAGCATAAGGATGATTCGGGGGAAATAGGAAGGAAGTATTCATGGCTTTGCTCCCGCCTCCCTTATCAAATATCTCAATCCCAGGATCCTAACGGCAGACCTTTTAGGACATCAGGCATTTCCCCATGACCAATCCCCCCTCGCCCTCCTCAAATACGAACCGCGAAGTCTGCCACAAACGCGTTGGCTTTAAAACTCATCCCTCAACTTTGGATCCACCCAGCCGGTTAAGGATATCACGACTCACCACTGATTCTTCTTGCACCCTTCTGGGAGCTGCGCTTAGAGTAATTCGCGCCCAAACATTCGTAAAAGAGGAGACCCGGAAGTGGGCGGGAAGAAAGCGGAAACGGACATCTAACCCTAGCCCTAAACGTCATCAGGAACGCGCCCGTGAGAGCGCGATTAGATTGGTTGGAGGGAAGGCGGTGTCGGCCTACGCCCCCAGAGTCATCCGACTGTCGCTGGCGGTTGCGCGGTTTGTGTGGGCTTGGTGAGGGCGGGGAGACCTGGCTGTGCGGATCTTTGACAGGTGAGGCGGGGGACGCAGAAGTCCAGCCGCCCTCTCATGCAGCGGAGTCGGAAACAGGCCTACCAGTGAGTAGGACGTACACCTTTCAGATCGCTCCATTCTTCTGGCTCCTGTCCCTCCTCTACCCCTGTATTTTGAACTTTTGTCCTTTCTCTCCCCGTCTGTCCTTTACTTCTGTCTTCTTTACCTTCCTACTGTGACGAGATCCCACTCTCTGCCTTCTCCTTAGGTTTAGATTTTCACTTCGATCAATCTCTCTTTTTGGGCGAGGTCCTTGGCAATTCGGAGGTACTTCTGGAAAGAAGGTGCTTTTAATACTTTAGGGGCCATGTCGTTATCTTCTCTGGCCACCTAAGCACCCTGAACTGTTCCCTTTGGCAGAGGTCACTTTTTGTATGGTTCCAAAGGGATGAGCTTGCTTCATGACTGCCTCCCTTCTAGGTTGTGGGTTATGTTATTGTCAAGGTTTTTCTAAGAGTTTTCGGGACTAAAAGTGATTTTCTGTGTGTAAACAGGATTAAGAGTGTAAACAGGGTTAAGAGTGAGAGGTAGAATAGAAAAGACAGGTCTAAATTGACATAAAAGCTTAAATTACTAATTCGTTCTCAGTTTTGTCTAGAAAGAAGGTGGTTTTAGGGAAGCTCGAAGCCCTGGATAACGTACGTGTGTAAAGTTTTAAACCACTTGATGATTTTCTCCCAATATAATTTTGTGTTTAATGATGTACTTATGCTAATATCAAATATAATTTTCACGTCCTATGTTTACATCTCCAAACCCAAATGGTTGAACATCAGAGTACCTTCTTGAACTATTAATGTACAATCACACGTCAGCAGCTAAAGCTTGAAAGTTACTGGTTCAGAACTTTTTTCTCACTGATTTGTTTTTGAGGTGTCGGGGTGGGATTAATCATTGCTCTTTAACTCATTTTAGTTGTTAGTAACATATTTGCTTTGCGTGTTGCTGCTTTGAATGCTTGAGGCCTCTCTTGATGGTCTTCTGAGAAAATTCAGAGGTCGTATTGCCATCCACAGTAGTGTTTTTATCTAAAAATGGTGTCTGTTTCCAGCGTCCACCAATTCACATATGATTTTCAAGCAAGACCCTCCACCAGCAAAAAGATTAGGACTTGCTGAAGGCTGAGATGATCGTTAGCATTTTTTAGCAATAAAATATTTTAAAATTAAAGTATGTACAGTATTTTTTTACACTTAATGCTATTGCACACTTAATAGGTTACAATACACTGTAAATACAACTGTTATATACACTGAGAAACAAAAAAAATTGTGTGACAGGCTTTATTAACTTTATTGTGGTGGTCTGGAACCGACCCTGCAATATCTCGGAGGTTATTGTCCCTTATACAGGGCTCTTTCCTATTAGTTGTTCAGATTTAGGAAAGCCCACGTGAAATGAGTGTTATATTTCCTGTCAACAGTTTAGTCTCAGGTGGTTTTCAAATTACCTTTTACAGGATTACTATTGAAATGGTTTAGTAGTAGCTTCATTGTTTTTCTCACCCACCTTTTAAGCTAGTAAATGTAGTGGATGGCTTGCAAAAAGATGGATGACAAGGACCCAATAGATTTAAAGAATAAAAATCGTGCAGTATTAAAAAATGGAAGGTTTTTTGTTGTTGTTTGTTTGTTTGTTTGTTTTTTGAGACGAGGTCTCTCTGTTGCCCAGGTTGGAGTGCAGTGGCACAATCTGTGCTCATTGCAACCTCCACTTCCTGGGTTCAAGCAATTCTCCTGCCTCAGCCTCCTGAGTAGCTGGGATTACAGGCGTGTGCCACCACGCCTGACTAATTTTTGTATTTTTAGTAGAGACTGGGTTTCACCATGTTGGCCAGGCTGGTCTCGAACCCCTGACCTCAAGTGATCCACCCACCTCGGCCTCCTGGAGTGCTGGGATTACAGGCGTGAGCCACCATGCCCGGCCTCTTTTTTGTTATGTTTCCATTTAGACTTTGTTCTATGTACTTTTTACCTAGCTGAACCTATTGCATTTAAAATTATGTGTCTTGAGTCTTTTACTTACTACTTTTTGAGTTTCTCTTTTTTTGGGAAACTGTGCATAACACATTTTTAACTTTGTACTTATACATGTATTTACAGGAACTGCATAAAACATAACTGTATAATTTGATGAATTTCCACAAACAGAATATATCTACGTAAGTGGCAATCAGATCAAGACCGTTACTCCCAAAAGCCCCTCTCTTGCTTCTGTTGTATTCTAGCAACCATAAGTAATAATTCTTCTGACTTCTGACATCAAAGATTAGTTTTGCTAACTTTCTAAACATATTTTAATAGCTACGTGAAATGCTATCACTTTTATATGCTGTAATTCACTTATTCATATGTTATTAGAAACGATTTTCCTAAATTTTCTCTATTACAAATAAAACTATAGGGAACATCTATGTATTATTACAGAAGCTTTCCCAGGAGTAATGTTCCTCAGTGGAATGGTGTAAACATTTCTGAAGCATTTCATATATATTGACAATTTACTTTCCAAAGTAGTTAAAATAGTTAATACTCTCACCAGTGGTTTATGTCTCTTTTTTGTTGTTGTTGTTGAGACGGAGTCTCGCTCTGTCGCACGGGCTGTAGTGCAGTGGCCGGATCTCTGCCCACTGCAAGCTCCGCCTTCCGGGTTTACGCCATTCTCCTGCCTCAGCCTCCCGTGTAGCTGGGACTACAGGCGCCCGCCACCTCGTCCGGCTAGTTGTTTTTGTATTTTTTTTTTAGTAGAGGCGGCGTTTCACTGTGTTAACCAGGATGGTCTTAATCTCCTGACCTCGTGATCCGCCCGTCTCGGCTTCCCAAAATGCTGGGATTACAGGCTTGAGCCACCGCGCCTGGCCTTATGTCTCTTTTTTAACGACCCCGTAGTAAGTGTCGAGTATTTATTTCATTTAAACTTTGCTAAACTGATAGGTAAGAAGTGGTATGGAAAATAAAATTTGAAACTCCCTTTATTTGTTGCCTTATCCAGTATAATACACATAGTATAGTGAATATATTAATGTTTGTATCTCAGTATCTTTTTAAATAATAGGCTCTGTATGTTTAGGCTGTATGACTCTGGCAAGTTTTAGTAATTCAGGTGAACAGTTTACTGCTTTGTGAGGTGGGATTTTGATCAGGCAACTTTATTTCTCTAAGCCTCAGTTTCTACATCTGGAAAATGATGACACTGAACCCAGCAACCTAGTATAAAATCTATGCTAGTTATCAGGAATGTACAGCTTTAATGTTGGAGCAGTTTATAAATTAGCACAGAAGTAGATTACTGAAGAGGCCATTTGGCTCACCTTATGGATTCTGGGATGAGTTGTGAGCATATTAGTTAAATGCAAGGACTTTGAAACAAGCTGCATGGGTTCCAATCAATGCTGGCTCTTCTGTGCCTCAGTTTCCTAATCTGTAAAATGGGGATAATAATAGTACCTACCTATTAAGGGTATTGCAGAGATTGAAATTGCTACTCTCTGTGATGTCTTTATAGACTTCTGTGTTACTGGCACATAGAAATGCTGCAAATTGGAGATAATGCTTTAACTGAATTAGCCAGAGAAGAATATTTTAGGCAGAAGGAAGAGCAAGAGCAAATTCACAGAACTTTGACATATGCGCAGCCAACTGTAGGTAATCTAGTATTTCTAGTGCACAAATGCATAAAGAGGACAAAGACAGAGGTGGGGCTGAGGGGGAAACAGAGACTGGTTCATGAAGGCTTTGAATACCTGTTTGTCTTATTCACCACTTTTTTCCTCCATTACCCAACATAATGTCAGTCATAAACTGATATTTAATAAAAGCATTTTGATGTTAATTAGGAGGCTGTAGTATATCTTCCGCATGATACAGAGTCTTTGAAAATTTCATGGGGAGTGTGACATAGTCATATTTACAATGATGTCATTGTATGGAAGGGATTCATATAGAATGGAGTAGAAGGGGGCTGAGACTGGTCAGTAAGGCCAGCTAAGAGGCTACTGAGGAAAAATACTGGAACTGGAAGACTGATAGTAATTGTGAAGAGGGGCCAAAGTTATAAAATATCAGGTACAGGAACCAGAAAAGGGGAAGAAATGAAATCAGACTAATACATCTTCTTTCTTTTCTGTTCCTTTCTAATCTGTAACTCCTATTTCCCACCCCCTCTTCTAAATATTTATACACTATGTTTCTTTTTCTAGGTCAGTTCTTATTTCTGTTGGGTGTTTCCATGCTCCACCATGTTAAGAGCTAAGAATCAGCTCTTTTTACTTTCACCTCATTACCTGAAGCAGGTAAAAGAATCATCAGGCTCCAGGCTCATACGGCAACGACTTCTACACCAGCAACAGCCCCTTCACCCAGAATGGGCTGCCCTGGCTAAAAAGCAGCTGAAAGGCAAAAATCCAGAAGAGCTAATATGGCACACCCCGGAAGGAATCTCTATAAAACCCTTATATTCCAAGAGAGATACTGTGGACTTACCTGAAGAACTTCCAGGAGTGAAGCCATTCACACGTGGACCATACCCTACCATGTATACCTTTAGGCCCTGGACCATCCGCCAGTATGCTGGTTTTAGTACTGTGGAAGAGAGCAATAAGTTCTATAAGGACAATATTAAGGGTGAGATTTTAATGTAAGACCTAGTATTTATGATAAGACATATACCTCCTATATTTGGATTTTTTTGAGGTTAATCTCTATAAAGATGATATTCACTCTATAATTATGTAAAGACTACACTCTGAAAAAAGTAGATTTTTTTAAACTTCTGTGGTCAAAAAGATAAGTGA